GGGGAGGGGGGGAGGAGGAGGGGGGAAAGAGAGAATTCTACTGTTCTTGTATTGCTTTAACTTTTCACTCTAATGGCTGCGATAATGCCATTAACCCTTCCCTCTTTCTCTCCCTGTTCTCTGCACGTCTCTACCTGCTCTGACTTCTCCTGATTCTGACACCGGGGGGTAAAGCTGCTTTTTTTTTGCATAGTGTACATCTTGTGATTGTAGAGGGAGCAGCGAGCCTTTATTGTCCTGATGTAATCTTCAGTCTTACATCCCAAAGCACTCAGTGGCTAAGAGGGCAATGCAGTAGTTTGATTTTTGGTGAGTTAAGCTGTTTCTGTTTTCTCCTTTTTCTCTCCCTCTTACAGGGTCTGAGGGGAAAATAGTTACTCAGTAATCCTGTTGCAATTGTTATTGCAGGCTCCAAATAACTATGCTTTTAGCATCTTATATTAAAATGACACTCATTTTGTCTTCAAAGTCAGATAAAGAAGATGATACTTAGGGTGTGCTTAGGATACATGTATTTGTACAGATTTATATGGAAAAAATGCTTAGCTAGATAAAAGGGGATTTCTATATCCTACAGATTGCCCACAGTAATATGTATAATTAAGTACATCAGAGAAGGTGTTTACAGCATATTAAAGCATGCTTCCTCCTAGACTGAATGTTTTCTTCTCTCTTCCCTGTTTTCTGCAAATGTATATTAATAATGTTTAAGCAAGAGACTCACCTTGACTGCATTAGATGTTCAGAACACTCTGAAAAAATATCTGCACTGAGGGAAGTTCTCTGACTAAAATAATCCTGCTGCTTGTGATATGAAGCCATCTAGAAAGTGCTTGTTGCACTAAGCAGGCATCAAATACCTTCTCAAGGCTTGAGTCAAAGACAAAATAGAATCCGGTAAGAGTACCTGATAATAGCTCAGACTAGCAAATAGCTGAACTTAATTGCTAATCACAGACTAAAAAAAAAAAATAAATATTTAAGGCACACCAAAATAAAGAAAATTTTGTCCTCATGAGCAATACTTTTTTCTGTTGGATGAAAAACTGGACAGGTTCTGTCATTCCTGGAAATGAGTACAGCAGATTCATAATGATACAAGATGCAACTTTTGCCTTACTTACTGCACCATCCAGGTTATTACATGCATGCAAGACATCTGACACAGCTGCAGACATCTTTTTCACATAACTAATGCCCTCTGACTGAAGAACAAGTCTCTTGCCTATATTTTAGCATTTATTTGTATTATATTCCTGTGAATTGTCATAATTATGAAAGTAAGGGAGGCATTTCCCCATAGTAATGGTCTATTCCATTCATGTCACATCTTAAGCATAGCAATAATTCTGAGTAAAAAATGAGTACAATAAATCATATATAATTTACATGATTAAAATGATCCCCAAATAAGAAACCAACTATTTTGCCTGGAGGATTTTCTATTACCACAGAGTTTTCATTACTTTAACAGAGGCAATGATGGAACTACTGAAAAACCTGCAGATGGATACAAAGAAAACCTGCAAAACAAAAACACAAGTCTTTAAAGGCGGTGGACCTAAATTATCTGAGGTAGCCAAGGACTATGAGTGATTCAGTGATTGGACATACACTATGGGGATTTGGATGGTGAACTTTTAAATCATTTCTATAGAAGAAATCAGACCCTTTTCAGATGGGCAGCCAAAATCCTAAGTCACTCCTGAAAATGAAGGCTGATTATAAGATTCACTTCAAACCCATGTACGTCATCAGTAATCAGCTGCAATTACAAATTACAGACATATTATCAGCAGCCAAGTTAAATGTAAATTAGGCAGAAGGGAAAGGAATCTAAGCAGCATCACCTGGTTTAGAAAGAAAGCAGAAAACAAAAATAGATAACTTTTTTTTTTCCTCCTTTTTCTCCATTCCAATTCTAGACACTTGTAGGTAAAATTAATTTTATAAATTTATAATTTAGAAACAAGAATAATTTCCAAAATACTGTGTAGTCAATGGAACTAAAGAAGTTTTAAATTACTGGCACAGGGAGGTACAAAATTATAAAGGTAGTTACTAAAACATCAAAAGAGGATGTATTTATTAGGAAATGGATTTAATTGAAAGAATCCTAAAACTTGATTACACATTTCTTCATATGCTGGGACAGGCCATATGATTCTGTCAAATATTGCAAGCAAAAAAACCAGAAATAATCCACCTCATGTTATTGATGTTAAATTTGACTATGTTGAATTTGGCTTGCCCACAGTCAACCATGCTGTATGAATCTGAGCAGTGAATGTATCTAGTTACCTTGTGTTATATCTCTGCCTTTTGTGCTGTAGAAAGTTTTAATGTAGCCCAACTTAGTAAAAACTTCACACAAACCATATAATTCATGCCATAAAGCACAAACAATACTTTTCACCTGTCTTTTTTCCCCCCTTTCAATTATTCTAAGAAATGAGTCATCACTGGAACCTCTCTCAGGTCATAGCCAGAACATGCATGCACAGGGGAATGATTTTTCAAACATGCCAAAGAAATGTAATATTGGAAGACCCATTTATGCTGCCTTGGACCTGAGTTGTATGGTTCATCCTTTGCTTTATTACTACTTCAGTACATGTTCCAGATCAAGCACTCCTTCAAAATCGTAAATGGCCATGCATGTTCACCACTCTTCCAAGTTTACAGGCCACAGGTTTATGCATGTGTTTTAACTATTAAGGAAAAAAAAGTGGCTCTCCAACAAGCTCAGTTAAAATGTAAATTTTAAAAAAAGTTAGTTTTTAAATTATTACTTTGTTTTACTTTTTTGTTATTTTCTTTGTTTTTTTTTTAATTGTCACTATTATTTCAGAGATTTGTTTACTATTTCAAGGGAAATTTCGCATTTTCTGATGAAATTTCTGATTTCAAAATTAAAAAGAAAAGTTATTTTCTTCACAGAGGACTGCTGCTTGTTAACTGAAGTGTTCATATGAGCCTCTTCCAGCATATCACTGTTGTCTCTTTGCAACAGTATCACTGTATCTTTGCTGTAAGTAACTACAATGTATAGGAAGTTTCTGAACATGCTTCATTCTAATGGTGAGAAAAGACCAACCAACAAACAAACCACTTTTCAATGTTTCTATACTTGCAAGTTTGGCAGAGCTAGTAGCAGCACAACTCAACAGTAATAATTTTGGTACTATTTCTACAAAAAATTGTGGAGGATTAATTTTCAAACCTGAGAGTATCAGTGGAGCTTCTTACATAGTTACAAATTTATTCAGTTTAAAGAGATAACACATGCACAGAATTTATCAATAAAAGACCAATGAGAGGGTTGGCTATGCTCAGAGAATGTATAATCTTTGAACAACATAGAAAAGTTAAACAAATCTTTATGTTTTGTTTCTAGGAAAATGATTTCTCATAACTATATATGATGTTACCACAGGCTCCTAGAAAAGGTAAAGCAACTGATTAGGTATTTCACAATGAAAGTAACACCATAATCTTAATTATGGCAAAAAACAAGAAAGGTATGACCTTTCAAAATTAGTAGCATTTGGGACACTTGCCAGTCTGGTGATTACTTGACAAATGATGATTTTTGTTACTGCAGTGGAATTGCTTGTTCTGATTACTGTTCTGCATAAACACAAACCAGACACTCCATGCTCATAGTTTATAAATGTGTAATTTGTGAAACTAAGCAATTGGGCTCTGATGTTTATATGTTATCAGTGTCTTTCAGTGTCTGAGGTGGTGGTTACATTTGGGTTTTTTTCTCCACTTTTATTCAACTATAGATCAAAAATCTATGAAGCCAACATTGGAGCAGGGGAGGATTATGATAAAGGTTAGAAATAAATACTGTTTTACCTTTAAGACATTTTATTTGAAATATTCTCTCACCATTACTCTTCAGATCAGGGACATGATATTTTATAGAGTTACAATTTGTGTTTGGACACACTTTGCCACACTTCTGAAAATTCCCACATATCTGGCTGTATTCACAGGTCTGGAAAAAATATGGGTTGCATATACTCTTAACAGCTCATAGTCCTGAGAAACCTGTGTTTGTTCATTGTGCCTAAACTCCTCACAGCCTTGAATGCTGACTAAGTGCATAAATGGCATCTTCACAGAGTGAACAGACATGCAAAGGGACTGGCTGCACAAACCCCCCTGTAATTAGAATCTGGAGAAACAGGAGAAAGGCAAGAGAAAAGAGAGGCGTGACCAAAAATAAATAAATAAATCAGAAAATATAATTAAGTTGGTCCATTCTCTTAGTTCATTCTTTTCATTTGCATGACATTACGAGCAAGCTCTTCTTAGTTGAACCCCTCTTATTTTTAACATGAGCTTTGACTTCAGTTAGGAGGCAAAATTGTCCTAGTCTCAGAATGGCTTCTTGCTCAGGCCTGAGAAGTAAAGACTGCCATTATACATGGTACTTATACCTTATTTCTTACAAGTATTGGAAGAGAAAGGATGCCTTACCCTCAGGGCGGCAATATTTTCACTTGGAGAAGCAAAGTCCTTCTCTGACTCAGAATTCCTGAGCAATGCTGTACAATCCCTCATATCAGATGTTTCACACGTGGTCAGGAATGGTGTGCTTCTCATTTCTGAATGCCCACCTCAAGATCCCAAAGGCTGAGACAAAGAAG